ATGTAAATGCTCAGCTCATATGCCTGTCTTTTGTTTGGCTGGAAGCCACAGGAGTGGGTTCAATTCCAGACCTGAAGGGCAGCTAGAGGCCATAGTCTCCATGGTTCCATCAGGCTCCACCAGACCAGCAAACCTGGTCCCATTTTTTTTTTAAATGATTTTGAGTTTTATTCCACATTATTCTCCCATTTCTGTCCAGGATCTCCCTCCAAGTGGTTGACAGTGGTAGCCGGGGACCATCTAGTTCTTCTGGTCTCATAGTCATATAGGCTGAGGATCGCATGGTGTACCAGTCACTTAGACTAATTCTTTCCATGTGTCTTTGGTTTTCTTCATTCTTCTTTGCTCTCATTTAGGAGAGACCCATCGTTGCATCTAGATGGCCACTTGCAAGCTTTTAAGATCCCAGTTGCTACTCGCCGAAGTAGGATGTGGAACAATGTTTTTGTGTAGTATGTTTTGCTAGTTGAGCTTGATGTCCCCTGCAACCATGGTCCCAAGTCCACAGGTCCAACTACTTGCTCCCTTTAGGTAGCTGGCTGTGGCCAAGAAGTGACTACAATCTTATCCATTGTCAGCTCTACTATATACCTGGGAATTCTTACAGAACATACCAGTACACTTGTAGAAGCATTGTCTGCCAACCCTATACATGGTCATGGGCACACTGCCCCCTACATAGATATACCTAATAGTTCAGCCTGTCTACCCATCTATCTACCCATATGTCAATGTTTGCCTTCACTGACAACACTGTACTGTATATGCAAAAGGGTTCATCTTTGTTGTCTGTACTTTCCATGTATATCTCTATGTCTTCCTCTTCTTCAATGTCACTGTGTTGATTACTCACATTTGTGGATCACCATATTTTTAAAAATGCCTCTACAAATGTTCACACCTTGAAGTTCAACACTGCTTTGGTTCTCAACTTGTGGGGCAGCCAGAACAGGTAATGACCACCTACCATGTATCAGGGCCCAGGGAAACAAGTATGAACAAAAATTAAGGTAACAGGCATCCCTTGACTCTGAACCCTGTCCCTCTACCAGGGCATATCACCAGAAAGCTATAAACATGGGTTGTTAAACTGTTCTCTTCCCTCCCTGAATCCCTGCCCCCATGGAATTCCTTCTACTGGGTTCCATTTAATGAGGGTGAAAATAAGAAAGAGCCTATAGCATCATTTCATAAATTACTGTTAATGATACTGTTCGCTATGTTACTATACATATTTATTGTACACTGCAGAAAGATCTACCCAATACATATATATTTTTGTAATTTAGAACCTGATATCTCAGTATTGGATACTGAGAGAGATTATGTAACCCATCAACCTCTATGCATTTCTTAAAATTAGTGTCTGGTTGGAAACATAGTATGCTAGTTTGTTTGTTTTCCTTTTAAAATAAAATTGTTTCCTCTTGGTTATAGAAATAATATATGCTTGTTTTTTTAAAAAAACTGAAAATAGAGAAAATTATAAAGAAAAGAAAAGTACCCATGGCCTTAACATCCAGAAAACACTATTACTGCATTTTTGGTATAGTATATCCCAGCCTGTATACTATACTTCTTTTTTAAACACAGCTGTGATCCTACTGTAGAGACATTATATCTGATCCTAGTGTTTTTTAATTTTTTTATTTTATTGTATGGTCCTATGGTTTATTATATGGTTTAACACGGGGACAGGGAATTATGTTAGTTTCAGTTCTCAGTGGCAACCTTGTTAAACCAAGTTCCAGGAGAACAGAAGACAAGACACAATCTTCCTAGGAATCTTGCTGCTCTTTTCACTTACTGTAATTATTTTCCTTTTTAATGGCTATATAGTATTCCATTCAATTCATATATCGCAATTTTTAAGATTTTTCCTTGCTGGACTTATTTTTTATCTTTTTCTTTTTTAAAATTTAATTTAAACAATGCTACAATAAATGTTATTGTTCATAAGGCTTTTCTGTATTTTGATCATTTCTTTAGAACTGGTTCCTTGACATGGAAGCACTAGGTCAAAGGTTATACATTTTTAAGGCTTTTGATACATTACCAACTTGCTTTCCAAAATGTAGGCATCAAGGAATAGTCCCCACCGACAGCATTTCAGAGTAGAGGGGGCAGGTGTGAAATTTATACTATTGTCAGTCTATAATAAAAATAATTATGAAAAAGATTTTTGTGGTTTCTTCTTTGATAAAGTTCAGGGAGGATTTAACATGTTGCATAAAAAGTAAGCAAAAGTAATTACACATTCTTGTTTGCTTGTGTTTACCACTAGAAGAGTATTTTCTGGCTAACAGTGAATCTGAAAGGCTGCTGCAGCCCATACTTACCCACATGCAATGGCACATCCTGATGGGGCATAAGCACATGCCATCACCCACGTGCAGGGCATGGTGACTGCATGCTCCTAAAACACAATATTCATTGTTCATAGAGTGAATGAGAGATGCTTCTACACAAGAGTCTTAACATTTAACGTTTCCAAAATAAAATCGCCGGAGTTCCTACCAAATTGCATTACAGGTTCAAAGGAAAATGGCGTGGGGTAGAGAACACCAGCTTGAGAATGATGAAGGGCCCAGCCTCCCCATAAACGACCAAACTCTATGTCATGTATTCTAAAAGTTAAAAATCCCTACTGGCAAAAATCTCTTCTTCGTGTGTAGTTCCTCCTTAATGTTACTCTCCCTTTCTTCTGCATGCATACTGGGGCCCTTTCCTTTTGAGAGGTTATGTGTGAATTTCCTTTCAGAGGTGGGGTCTGAGCCCCTTGCACATTGGGCCAGGGTGTACATGGCTCTAAATTAATCTAAATCTAGATCCTTAATTAAAGAGAAAAGTCAAAAGCCTTGTGTAGGTGTGTTTGCATGCCTACATCATATTGGCATTTGCAATAAAGACTATTATGTATTAAATATTTATTTAGAAAGAATTTCTTTCTCTGTATAAGAAAAGGAGACTTATATCTGTCCCAAATTGGACATTATCCAGATTCTGCATTACTGACTGTGTTTAGTGAATGGTGTTGTAGGCAGCTGTTACATGAAGTGATCAAGTGGAGGCCCAGAACCATTTTGTGGAGTCAAGTTCCTGACAACCTCGGCAATAATAAAAATAACAGCAATTGCAAAGGGCGTTCAGATGCATCATCTCCTTGGAAACCTTTTCCTCTCCCAGCATTTCTCAGCATCTTCTGGAGTACGTGGGGTTCTGCTGCTTCTGTTTATGCCTTAGCGTGGCACACGGCATGGATTGTCTGATTTCTGGAGAGCTGTGGAAGTTGCCATTTGTGGCCTCTAGCAGGGAATGTAGCCTCATGTTCCCTACTATACCTGAGCCCATTGCTGCAGGCACTGTCAATCCATCTTGTTGAGGGCCTTCCCTTCTTTCATTGACCCTCCACTTTATCAAGCATGACCTCCTTCATTTTAATATTAGCATTGTTTATAGTGGTTTCCATGGAGGAAAGATGAGGCAGTCTGCTTCTGTGAAGAGTCCAGCCTGAAAACCCTATGGGGCAGTTCTATTCTGTCCTATAGGGTGATGAGTCAGAATTGACTTGACAGCAACAGGATGGTGGTTCAACATGCTCTCAGGGTGAGAGTTTTCAGCACAAAAGAGTCCATAGAGTCAGGGTAACCACTGACAAGAGTGCTGGGAAGGGGAGCAGGAGGAGGCTTTGTAGCTAGACCAATAGTTGTTGTTAGTTGCCATCAAGAGGACTCCCAACTCATAGTGACCCCATGTGTAGAACTGTTCTATAGGATTTTCTTGGCTGTAATCTTTTTTTTTTTTTAATTTTTATTTGGATGAAAATTTATAAAGCAAATTCACTTTCCACACATTAGCTCACATACACTTTGTCTCATGACATTGACTGCAATTTCCCACAATGCAACAGCTCCCCTCCCACTTCCTCCCCATAGTTACCTCTTCCCTGTGTCCTTCCCTCTCATGCACTCCTGCCCCCTGAGCTGTCTCCCTGTGCATATAGCCTTTCTATTCTCCCATGACTGATCTCTCCAAGGAGTACCTAATGTAAATGTTCAGCTTATATGCCTGTCTTTTGTTTGACTGGAAGCCACAGGAATGGGTTCAATTCCAGACCTGAAGGGCAGCTAGGAGCCATAGTCTCAGTGGTTCCATCAGGCTCCATCAGACCAGTAAACCTGGTCCCTTTTTTTTTTTTTTTTTCAATAATTTTGAGTTTTATTCCACATTGTTCTCCCACTCTATCTAGGATCTCCTACTGAGATCCCCCTCCGAGTTGTTGACAGTGGTAGCCGGGCACCATCTAGTTCTTGTGGTCTCATGGTCATATAAGCTGAGGATCTCATAGTATACCAGTCACTTGGACTAATTGCTTCCATGCATCTTTGGTTTTCTTCATTCTTCTTTGCTCTGGATGAGGAGAGACCCTTGGCTGTAATCTTTATGGAAGAAGCTTGTCATGTCTTTCTTCCATGAAACTGCTGGGTGGGTTTGAACCACCAATCTTTAGTTTAGCAGCCAATCACAAAGTGCCTGCACCACCCAGGCTCTTTTAAAGTAGGCTGAGATTCTGAGATGATTTGATGTGGCAAAGAAAAAATGCCTTACCTTGTTTGTAGTGAAGGAATCCCATACGATCACTTTCCCATCCTGGAGGGAAAAAAAAACAAAAAGTTTAGGAGCTGTCAGTAATCTCCTGCAGATAACTGCTAAAATTACTCATAAAAGCTGTGATATGAACTGGAAAGTCAGAGTAATTATCTGGATAATTAAGGTCCTCCAACTTATCCTTGGAAACAAGGGCAGTGAGCAGGAACTGAATTTCCAATCTGGCTAAAGGCCCAGTGTCAGCCTTACATTTCTGGCATAGATACAACCACAGAAAACAATGCTCAGACACTTCTCTTATACTGTTTATAAACCAAGAACAAATTATTCACAGGTTGCCACAATACGCCAAATGCCAAAAAGTATGCAGGGGTGTATTAGGTTAGTAGTCAGGGCATTTGGCTGACAAATCACAAGATTGGTGGTTTGAACCCACCAGCCACTCCACAGAAGAAAGATGAGGTGGTCTACTTCTGTGAAGATTTATAGCCTTGGAAACCCAATAGGGGTTGCTGTGAGTCAGAATCGACTTGATGGCAGTTAGTTGGGTTTGGTTTTAAGGCTGCCATCACAAGATACCACAAACTGGGTGGCTTAATACAACAGAAATTTACTGTTGCACAATTCTGAAGGCTGGAAGTCTGAATTCAGTGTGCCAGCAGGGCCATGTTCTCTCTGAAGGCTCTAGAGGAAGACTCTTTCTTGTCTCTCCCAGCTTCTGCCAGCCTCAGACATTCCTTGGCCTGCAGCTGTAGAGTAACTCCACCCTCATACGACTGTCTTCCCTCTATCTCTCTTCAGAAATTGGATTAGGACCCACCCCACCCCAATATGACTTCATATTAACTGAACTGATAATATCTTCTAAGACCCTATTTCTAAACAAGGTCACATGCACAAGCATTGAGGGTAAGGACTTCAACATATCTTTGGGGGAGACACAATTGAATCCATAACAATTGGTAAGATAAACCTGAAATTATCTTTCCTGACAGTAAATAATGGTCTTTTTTTCCTTTCTCCCTCATTATCCCCACTCCCTCTCCACCATTCCCATTGAGGAATCCACTTTTCCTGCACATTGGGTAAGGACCCCACGCCCATTCTTGGTGCCACTTCTCTGGTCCTGAACAGCTGGGACAGGGAGCTGTGTGGGTCTGAGATGAATCTTAACTTCCCCAGGTGTTTGCAGATATCACAGCTCCCCACTATGATACTTCCCACCTACACTGTGAATGATGCATGACACTCACCTACAACATGGGGATTCCCTGTGACATGCTGATCGGCAAACAACTAACACACGATGCCACAGACAATCTGCCATTCACTGTAACCACACAGGGAGGGACAGGGAGTAAATATAATGTCATCTGTTTGTAAAGCAAACATACTAGAGATAAATCCACAGGAACCCTGATCCCTACAAGACAGCCACCTGCTCAAATGTGACGTGAAAGCTCTCTGATAACAAACGTTCTGGCTGACAGTGGCTCTTAGTAAATGTCCCTGGATGAGAAGTGGATGAACTGACTTCCTTCAGTGCACTGCCCTCCACTCACGCTCTGGAAGGGTTGATCTGCAGCCTCTCAGGTGGACTTGATTTTTTTTTTACTAACTCAAGCCATTTGGAGCCAAATCTGGTGAATGAGGTTGGGAGATCAGGCTGGAAATCAGGGGTACAAACAAGGTTTGATTCTAAAGTGATGTGGCTGCTGGCCTCCTATGAGCCAATGGATGAGTTCTATATCAACACTGTATGGCTGTGGGTCTTGAAACAAAGTCAAGGTTCCTGAGTGCATTGGTCCTCAAGGTCTAATTTCTCTGACTAAATGGCATAGGTTAGATAAGCCTTCAGGGCAGAGAACACAGCAGGGGCTTGATGCCCGCACACTGGGGTCCTCTATGCCTAGAGCCCTCTTCTTGCTGGGGGTGATGGTGGTACTGACCCAGTGCATCACCTAAGTCAGTGCTTACTTCTGTGGCTTCCTTCACACCACTGTCTGCCTGCTCCCACCTCCCAGCCATTGTGTGCTCTGGAGAAAAACAGGCATATAACGAGAAAGGGAAGCAAGAAGCTAAAATCAGTCTAACAAAACTAAATGTGGTTCCTTTCATGAGCATAGATGTGTATGTCAGAAACCTATACACCTGGAGGGAATGAGCCTCCACCCTAAACCTTAATCCCACTTGGTCAGTCTGATTAATCTCCTGCCTTTTAACGGAGAAGGATGCTGATGAGTCACTCAAATCTGTTCCAGACCCTTCCTGCTATTTTCCAGCCTCCCCCACCCCCACACGCCCACTTCTTCCTACTATCTCTGGCATCCCATTAGACAGAAGAAGAGATGGTGGGATAGAGAGTGTCTATAGTACCGAAGCCTTCCTCTCTCCCCCTCACTAATAGCAGCAGAACCCAAGGGATAGAAAATCCACCATCTATTATACTTTGTAAGGATTAAAAAGGTCAAAAGGGCTAGGTAGTAACATGTATACTTTGAAACTACTTTGTAAAAATGTACATTTGAAAAACTGGAAAAAAAGGACTAGAAAGAAATGCTCTAAAATAATAATAAAAACTAAACCAAACTCACTGCTCTTGAGTCGGATCCGAGTCATAGAGACCCCCCCTTGGGTTTACGAGGCAATATCACTACAGAAGTGGATTGCCCAACCTTCTATCCGAGGAGTGGCTGGTGGGTTTGAACCACCAGCCTTCTGGTTAGCAGTCACCTGTCTTAGGCAATACGCCACCAGAGCTCCCAAAATAATAATAGCTGTGACAAAGCAGTGGGAGTAAAATTTTTTTTTTTGTTCTCTTTTCCAGAGTTTCTTTATGTGATAAAACACATAAATGATAACTTTACTATGAATATAAAATAAAAAGCAAATGCAATGCAACATACTAGATTCACAGGTAGTACAGGATATTAATGCAAGTTTGCATCACCTGCATATCATTTGCAAGACACAACCTTGCATGCTGAAAGTGAAGATGACTTGAAGTACTTACTGGTGAAGATCAGAGACTGTAGTCTTCAATATGGATTACACCTCAACATAAAGAAAACAAAAATCCTCACAACTGGACCAATAAGCAACATCACAATAAATGGGAAAATATTAAAGTTCTCAAGGATATAATTTTACTTGAATTCACAATCAATGCCCAGGGAAGCAGTAGTCAAGAAATTAAATGATATATTGCATTGGGCAAATCTGCTGTAAAAGACCTCTTCAAAGTGTTAAAAAGCAAAGATGGCATCTTGAGGACTAAGATGCACTTGATCCAAGCCATGGTATTTTCAGCCACCAAGACTGAAGGAGAATTGATGTCTTTAAATTAGAGTTTTGGTGAAGAATATTGAATATATCATGGACTGCCAGAAGAACAAACAAATCTGTCTTGGAAGAACACAGCCAGAATGCTCCTGAGAAGTGAAGATGGTAAGACTTCGTCTCACATACTTTGGACATGAATGAGGATGGGGGAGACCTGGTGATGCAGGAGTTAAAGCACTTGGCTGCTAACTAAGAGGTCAGTGTTTGTTCAAAACTACCAGCTGCTCTGCAGGAGAAAGATGTGGCAGTCTGTTTCTGTAAAGATTTATAGCCTTGCAAATCTTATGGGAGCAGTTCTAGTTTGTCCTATAGGGTTGCTATGTGATGGAATCGACTAGAGAGCAATGGATGGGATCAGGAGAAGGACATTATGGTTGGTAAAGTAGAGAGTTAGTAAAAAGAGGCAGATCCTCAATGAGATAGACTGACATAGTGGCTGCAACAATGAGTTCAAACATAGCAACAATTATGAGGATGATACAGGACTGAGTAGTATTTTGTGCTGTTGTACATAGGGTCACTATGAGACAGAACAAACCCAATGGTACCTAACAGCAACAATAACAGAAGATAAACAATACCTGACATAGATGTTAGAGCTCTGTGAATTATCAAGAATATGTATAATTTTTACATTTATAAGGGTTATTTAAAAGTACCTCCTTTAAAAAAGCTGGGAAAAAGGCAGGGGTCAGGAAGAAGCTGAAAATGATTATAAAATAGGAATTACAGAATACCTCATGTGACCTCAGTTTATAGTTTTATATTCAATGCATGTTGCAAATAAACATAAACAAGTACTAAGCTGTGGTAGCTAGCTAGCTTCTATGAAGGTCCTCAATGATCTCTGCCTGCTGATACACACACTGTTCTTCTTTTTTAAAATTTTTATTATGCTTTGGGTAAAAGTTTACAGAGCAAATTCACTTTCCAGACAGCAGTTCACATACACTTTGTCTCACGACATTGACTGCAATTTCCCACAATGCAACAGCTCCCCCCCCACTTCCTCCTCATAGTTACCTCTTCCCTGTGTCTTTCCCTCCCATGCACTCCTGCCCCTGAGCTGTCTCCCTATGCATACACAGCCCTTCTATTCTCCCATGATTATTCTCTCCAAGGAGTGTATCTACTTGAGGCAAATGTTCAACTCATATGCCTGTCTTTTGTTTGGCTGGAAGTCACAGGAGTGGGTTCAATTCCGGACCTGAAGGTCAGCTAGGGGCCATAGTCTTAGTGGTTCTATTGGGCTCTATCAGACCAGCAAACCTGGTCCCTTTTTTTAAATGATTTTGAGCTTTGTTGCACATTGTTCTCCCACTCTACCCAGGATCTTCTACATAGATTCCCCCTCCGAGTGGCTGACAGTGGTAGCCAGGCACCATCTAGTTCTTCTGGTCTCACAGTCGTATGGGCTGAGGATCACATGGTGTACCAGTCGCTTGGACTAATTACTTCCATGCATCTTTGGTTTTCTTCATTCTTCTTTGCTCTGGTCAAGGAGAGACCCATCATTGCATCTAGATGGCTGCTTGCAAGCTTTTAAGATCCCAGTTACTACTCGCTAAAGTAGGATGTGGAACTGATACACACACTCTTGTGTAGTCCCCTCCCTCATTATATCTGGGTTAGTCTGTGTGACCAATAAAATATGGCAGAAATGATGAAATGTCACTTCTAAGGTGAGGTCATAAAAGCCAGTATGTCTCTGCCATCTCCTTGCTTGTGTTAGGCCAGCTATCATGTCATGAGCAGCCCTACAGAAAGGACCACATGGCAAGGCATTGAGGCCTCTAGCCAATAGCCATATGAGTGTGCCATCTTGGAAGTGGATCCTCCAGTTCCAGTTAAGCCTTCCCTGATCAACATCTTGACTGTACCCTCATGAGAGACCCTGAGCCAGAACTGCCCAGGTAAGCCACTCCAGGATTCCTGGCCCACAGAAATAGATAATAAATGTTTGTTATTTTAAGCTAAGTTTTAAGGTAACTTGTTACCTTAGTTACCTTAGATAATTAATATGTAAGATATAAAATACATTATGTAAACTATATAAATGAATAAAAAATTATACTTCACAAGAAATAGATCTTTAATTTGCTGTTCTTTAAGTTACAAGAATTATTAAGGTCAAAAAAAGAAAGAAATTGTTAAACTTTTTTTTGTGATTAAAACTTTGATCTGATTATTTTTCCAGGAATAGTTAAACTCTTAAATTAAAAACCAGTGATGGCTAAAGAATAACGTAGAATCTGCAAAACACCGCATAACATGGATGAACTTGGAGGACATTATGCTGAGTGAAATAAGTCAATCACAGGACAAAAATATTGTATTAGTTCATTATTATAAAAAGTCAAGGAAAGGTTTATATATGGAAGGAAACTTTCTTTCTTGGTTACCAGAGGTGGGAAGGGAGGGGAGGGAGCATTGCAAAAATTAAAAATAATAATAATAAAAGCTGGTGATGGAAAAAACAAAACAAAACAACTACTATTTTCAAAATGGTTTTACTCACAAATAAGACCTTGAAAATATGCTTAGGAAGAAGTTAATTTGAAGGTTTTTCAAAGACGTCACACATAGTCTACCATGTTTCAACTATTGCCAATTTCAAATCTACCCAAATTAGTGAAATTCTACAGTATGCAAGACAATTAACTAAATCATACCCTTTGGACAATAAGAAAGGCTATAAAGATCAGAAAAGGACTTTTTCAAAAGGACTCTGTCCCCCTTAGCTATAATATCAGAAACCTGCCTGCCCATTTCACAATGGGTGTAACATACCTGGGATGAGCTCACGATCCTCCTCTTATCTTTGCACCAGTCCATGCACAGGACTTTGTTTCCGTGGCCTTTGAGGGTCCTTCTAGTCTTCATGACAAATTGCCCCAGGGCCTCCACCCGCTCCGCCACCTGGTGCACTGGAAGGACAATGACCACAGTCAGTCCTGACACCAAAGACCAGGTTTTGAGCCACCTGCTGGCGCAGTGGACACCATCCTATAGAGGCAGCCCCATACACTCCCTGTGTGGTTACAGCCTGCCTGATGTTCCTAGTCTTTACTACTATGTCCTCATAGTACTCTTTAAGATCTGCATAGACAAGCAAAAGACAGGCATATGAGTTGAACATTTACCTCAAGTAGATACACTCCTTGTAGAGAACAATCATGGGAGAAAGAAGGGCTGTTTATGCACAGGGAGATAGCTCAGGAGGCAGGAGTGCACAGAGGGATGGACACAGGGAAGAGGTAACTATGGGGAGGAAGTGGGAGGGGAACTGTTGCATTGTGGTAAATTGTGGTCAATGTCATGAGGCAAAGTGTATGTGAACTGCTGTATGGAAAGTGAATTTGCTCTGTAAATTTTCACCCAAATCACACACAAAAAAAGATCTGCATAGAGACAAAACTGTCATTCTCTCTTTGTGTTTAAGGCTCCTGTTTTTCAAAACACTTCCATATATGCATGAAGAGTGTTTAGAGAGAGTTTGTAAGAGAGTTTTTCATCAACCAGTTGCCAATAAGTTGACTGTGACTCATGACCATCCCATGTATGTCAGAGTAGAACTGTGCTCCTTAGTGCTTTTCAATGGTTGGTTGGTGCTTTATTTTCATTTTATTTTTTTTGAGGAGGGAAGTAGACCACCAGACCTTTCTTTCAAGATGTCTGTGGCTGAACACAGACCTCTAACCTTTCAATTAGCAGCTGAACATGTTAACCGTTTGTATCATCCAGGGACTCCTAATGATATCATCTCATGTTCATAAAGTATTGTATAGAATTTTCCCATTTGAGGGCCATAGCTCTGTGAGATGGGCAGGGCAGGCAAGAGTTTGAGATTATTATCTCCGTTTAACAGGTGAGGAAACTGAGGCTTAAAGAGGTTATGTGGTTAATACAAGTTCATAAAACTGAGGCCTTGAGCTCTCTTAAGCCATCCCTTTCTAGAAACAAGGAAAAGTGACTTTATAAGGAACTGTCCTGCCAGGGTCCATATGCACACTCATACTCCTCAGTGACAAGGGCCATGCCTCCTCACTAACTACCCCCACCCCAGTGCCTACCTAGCACAGGCCCAGGACATGGTAGGTGTTCTACACATGTGCTGCAGGAAAGGATGAACAAATGAGCCATCAAACAAGCTGTCAGCTAATGGTACACCCATGAGTTTACTGAAAAACTTATTGTCAGTAGAGATGAATGCAATATCCTGTACATGGTACTGTTGACACCAGGAAGGAATTTCCAAATAGCAATCTCTCAGACCCAGGGGTCACAAGTTCATTCCTGAGGTTAAGAAAGAGCTTTATAGGGGCTCACAGAGTGGCTCTCACTGGTGTGAGAAAAAGGAGTTCACAGGAAGTAGTGGCAAAGGCCTTAGAGACAATCCAGCTCAATCCTCTCACTGTGTCAATGAGGAAAGCGATTTGGAGGGATTGCATGGTTTCTCCCCTGTGAAGCAGGCCAGGCTCCCCACTCTCATCCACTTCTTCCTCTAAACCTCTTAGGCAGGCCTTTCTCCAGATAGGTGGAGAGAGGAAAAGGCATTTGAGCGAGGGGAAATGGCTTGAGGAAAGGTGTGGTGTCTTAGTACCAGGGCTTCAAACCAGTTCATTCTGGTTTGACTCCCTGCTGAGTATTTGCCTTTCCAACCCAATATAATGAATCAGAATCTACAGTTTAACAAGATCCCTGGGTGATTATGTATACATAAAATTCCCATACATAATCTTATATGTAATCACGTAGGGGAATCTTCTTAAACTGTAGATTCTGGTTCAGTACGGGGTGGGGGGAGTTGAAAAGCAAATACTCAGCAGGGGTTTGAACCTGAATGAAGTAGTTCAAACCCCTGCTTTGCAGAGACAGAAGCAACAGATGTGAGTCAAGGCGGCTGACCCAGGGTCCTTCTCAGGGAGCTGTGGAAACTTGATAGGAAGTGGCCCACCTCCCTTCAACTGGAAGCCTGTGGATTAAGCTGTGTGATAACAGTGTCTCTTTTCAGGAAATCCTTCCTTCCTTCCTTTTTCCCTTCCTCCCTCCCTCCCTCCCTTCTTTCCTTCCTCCTAAATGCTTCAGGTGCATTTCCTAAAACTGAGTGAACACTCTTATGTAATCACAATACAATGTTTAATCTACAAACCTTATTGAGATATTGTCAGTTGTCCCAATAATACCCTTTAAAAACCAAACTCACTGTCGTGGAGTCAGATCCAACTCATAGCGACCCCTCCTTGGGTTTCCAAGGCAGTATCACTACAAAGTAGATTGCCTAACCTTCCTTCTGAGGAGTGGCTGGTGAGTTTTCCAAAATCACGTGTTGTATTCAATTGTCATGTTTCTTTAAAACCTCACAATGATCCTATGGGACAAAGTAGAAACATCCCACAAAGCTTCCAAGGCTATAATCTTTACTACAGGAGACCGTCACATCTGGTGGGATTGAACAGCTGACCTTTTGGTTAGCAGCTGAGTGCTTAACCACAATTTTGTTCCCCAACTTGGGTTTGTCTGATGAAATCTGGATTTATCTGATGTCTGTCCAAAGTTCAGGAGCCCTGGTAGTGCTTCTGTAAAGCTTACAGTCAAGAAAACCATATGGGGTAATTCTACTCTGTCACAAGAAGTTGCTGTGAGTTATTGACTCAATGGCACTCAACAACAGCTCGTCAAGGTTGTTGTTGTTGTTGTTATTTGCCGTCGAGTCGGCCCCGACTCATAGCGACCCCTCCTTGGGTTTCCGAGGCAGTATCACTACGGAAGTAGATTGCCCAACCTTCCTTCCGAGGGTCGTCAAGGTTAGGTTCAGGTAATGCACCTTTAACAGGACTATCAAAGACATGATGCTGAGTCACTGCAAGTACATCACATGGGAGGCAGCTGCTGTAGATTCATCCCATTAGTGGTGATACTAATTCTGATGGTCTGGTTAAGGTGGCAGCTGGCCAGGACTCTGCACTTTAGAGTTACCATTTTACCTTTTGTAATTGAAAAGTATCTTATGGGAGTATACTTTGAAACTATATAAATATCATGTTACTCCTCAAGCTTTAATACTCTAATTTTAATATCCATTAATGATTCTTGCCTGAAGCGATTATTATTATGATTGGCAAGTGGTGGTTTTTCTAATTTCATCTTCCCTTGTGCATTTATTAGTTGTCTTTCTAATATAAGGAGGAGACTTACTTTCTTCACACTTATTAACTTATGCATATTCTTATGGACTTTATTCAGTAGGTTACATACAGATAGTCCCTGACCTATGATGTATTCAAGTTATTATGAACCACACTTAGAACTCTTTTTTTAAAAAAATATATGTAGTACATACAATGTCGCAGTGCATAATTTGTTATGTTATTCTCAGTCACTCACTCACAGATGTTAAAAAATCAGATTTATACAGATACTGATAATAAAAAGCAAAATAATAAAAACTAAAAAAATAAAAAATAAAAAGAGGTATTCAACTTATGTCAGAACCAACTTACGATCTAATGGAACCCCATCATAAATTGGTGACTACCTATAATCCTTTACAATTATCATTTATTTTGATGTTCAAATTGTCTCAGTTTGCCCAGTGGAAGCCCCATCATGAAGGCTCCTGTGACCTTTGGACAGATCCCATCATTCTGAGCACTTCTTATTCCAGGCTCATCTTGTTCTTTTCCCACCCTGGTCCTGCAACCAGTCACTTCTCCAGGAAGACCTGGCTCCTTTTAGTTGCTTTATTTTCTTTGTGATGAAAGAATAAAAGTGAGAACAGGTTAAAAGTCTTTGTGAAAATCCAAACTACAGAAAAGAGTTGCTAAACTATAAAATACATGAATGTTCAATTATTATGCCTTTGCTTCTGCTAAAATATTGCATTATTTAATGCCACACAAAGCATATTAGGCATTTTTTTTTTTTTTTTGGATAGATACATTGTTCCAGAAATGCACCAAACTTATCTAGATCTCTGGGCCTATGGTTGGTTTGTTTGGTTTTCTCCTTGTAGACCAATGTTTTCCTGGAATGGAACTAAGCCCCCAGGTTTCATATCTAGCACTAGCAGAGGTACTGACTAGGCTTCTTTATACAGCTGCCTCAACATCCTGAGAGATTTATAGGGGCTTACATGTGACCTGCATATCATGCAACTCAAGGACATCTTCTTTCACTTAAAAAAGTTTAATCAACTGGCCTAGCGGCAGACATAAGAAGCTCTGGTGGCATAGTGGATAAAGCCTTTGGCTGCTAACCAGAAGGTCAGCTGTTCAAATCCACCAGCTATTCTGTGGAAGGAAGATGGGGCAATCTACTTTTGTAAAGATTGATAACCTCAGAAATCCAATGGGGGTCAACTATGAGTCACAATCGAGTTGATGGCAGTGAATTTCTGGACAAACTCCAGAGACCACTGCCCATTTTTATAAATAAAGTTTTATTAGAACATAGCCACACTCATTCATTTACAAACTATCTGTTAAAGGGGCAAGGAGGTGGCATCTTCTAATCTCCTCTAACTACACAAGAGGAAGACAGAATCACCATCAGCAGCCCAAGGCCTGTTTCTATAAGGCCAGACATGCTGCCACCCTCCAACTCTCTTACTATCCTTGTCACCAACTATTCCTACCACAGCACCCACCAACTCTTTGCTGGGTTTGGTAATTTGCTACAGTGGCCACTCAAAACTCACAGATTATGGGGTTTCTTAGGGAAGCAATGGGCTACAATTCAAGTTCAGGAACACGCTCAGTCTCTCTCAGCTGGCTGTCTCTCAGCCAACAGTCTCTCTCAGTAGCACATCTCTCTCTCAGCAGCATGTCTCTCTCACATCTCTCAGCAGTGTGTTCCTCTCAGCAGCATGTCTTTCTCAGCCAGCAGTCAGAAAGACTCTTTCTGCCTCTAGGAGAGCTCATTTTGA